CGGTCAGATGACTTCCAGTGAACTCGAAATCGTCGTCCTGGTCCCAATGTTTCAAGCTCAAATTCGACAGGGACGTTGCATTGGCGAATTCCAAGTTTGCAAAGTGCCAGTCTAATATTTGACGATCTTTCGACGATAAATACACGTCGCTGTAATCGATTATATATTTATATAAATAAATTCGTTAAGTACGACGACAATTAGTATTGTTAAATTGCATTATGTACCTTGGCGGGGATGCTTCTAACTCCTGCAATTTAGCTTCGATCTCCTTTTGTTGTTCCGCCAATTGATCCCATTCCTACGAAGGTTAAATGATAACTGTCGAACTACTGTATAACGCTTTATCATTATATATATATACATACATACATACATACATACATACATACATACATACATACATACATACATACATACATACATACATACATACATACATACATACATACATACATACATATATATATATATATATTATTATACTTAAAAGCGTACGATAATTTACAAGATACCTACCTTGCATGCATTATGAAGATCGCGTAATTTCGAACGCAAAACGAATTCTTGTGTGATGTCTCTCGTTGGTAATTTACTTTCGGACATTTCTTTATATTGTTTATTTAATTCCGTTAAACGACCCATGATCTGTATCATCTGAAACGAAAGTTATATTATTTATATATGTATATATATATATATATATATATATATATATATATCTTATTAAAATATTACAAAAAAAAAATTTATTTGATCGAATGCTCACCCTATGCTGATTAGTAATTAATCTCCCTTGCAAAGAAAGAACTGAACGTAAATGCGCAACTTGTCTTTGTTTAACTCCCTGTTCCTGCAAACGTATCACCCATTCTAACGCTTGACCTAATGACACTGGTCGTGTATTGGCACCTTGCCCTCCTGATCCAGCGTTGCCTACATAATTAAAATCTAACTGATGAGACAAATAAGATGTCGCTTCTAATAATCTATTGAATTCTCGTTCGACCATTTCATCTTTGTCTTTTGGAACCTATTTGAAATAAATATACATTAATAAAATAATAAAAATATAATTAATTATTATTTAATTAAAATACGTACCGTTTGACCGTCACTTTCGTATAAAGGACACTTCTGTCTTATTTTATGCAGCTCCATATTGATTTGTTTGCTAAGAGTTGTTACTGGATTACCGCCTAAACCAGTAACTACCATAGCTCCCAAATCAGCAATGTAAGATGATTTACGAAACGTTGCGATCCTTCCACCTACACGATCCTAAAATAAAAAATATAAAGGATCTTTTTTACTTTAAACGATTTTCACATATATCTATTTCTATATATTGACGGAAAAAAAAAAAAAGAAAAGAATTAGGGACGTACTCTTGCTTCTAATACGATTACTTCTAATCCAAACTGTTGCATTTGTTGAGCTGCAGCTAGACCTGCTATTCCTGCACCTATCACTATAACTTTACCTAATTTCTTAGTAGGTAATGGCTGTAACATAAAAGAAATATTTACGCTGAATACTAAGGTGTTTTTAAAAACTATATATATTTATATATATTTTTTTTTTCTCTTTCATAATTTTCATACCTTTAAACGTTTAAAAACACCAAAATTAATAAAACCATAACGTTCTAAAAAGGAATGAATTCGACGGGCGAGTAAAGTATCACTGTTGTAAGGTGGTTCTATGGCTGGCAAGGCATTTTCAACTATTAATTGTTGCTTTGGATTTTCGAGCCATAATTGCAACTAAAAAAAAAATTTTTTATTGCAATAAGTAAGTAAATTAGTAAATAACGAACAATATGACATTATTGATATCTAAATTAAAAGGAACTTACAAGCCTGTTTCTAATATGTAGAAATACTTTTTGTGTTTGAGGTGGTCCCCCGGATACATCAGGAAAACATGCTGCTTCGGTAGACGTTAATTTATCAAATGGAAGACGGCTTTGAAAAGCTGCACCTTCCAAGCCATTTAATAATTCTTTTACTACAAAATTATTAAAGAAATAATAAAGGACTTTCATTAGATAAGATTATTTATCAAAAATTTATATGTTCATCTCACCATGCGGATCTTCATGATCACTATCCTGATCCTCTTCCTCCTTTACTTCGACCTTTGGTGCAGAGGATGCTGGTACGGATAACACTGGATCAGATTCTTTTTTTATATCACTAATGATCTTCTTCTCTGGCGTAACAAGGCCAGTTTTGGATTTTTCTGAAGTATCCGAAGCATTTTCATCTTCTAATTGATTATATTTTTCTTCCATCTCTCTATACTCTACCTATAGAATATATATATATATATACAATTGTTATTACAAATTTCTATGATATTTCTACAACTTAAACAAATAGAAATAAAACGTTTATAGGTATATTACAATTATAAGTCTTACACTATAAGTCAAATAACAGAAGAATACTATGAATGATAACATTGTTAATTGACTTTAATCAGCTCAAGTATATAGAAATAATGATAATTCATCGAGAAAAAAGGATGTAATTATATAAAATAAGATGCCACAAATATTTCAACAGCATCTGTAATCAAAACATAACCTCACTTAATTATTCAAAGTGTTAAACGAACATAATGCTTCTTTACTAAACAAATTCTACGTAAAATCATAAAATGAGATTATTCGTATTAATTTTATGACAAAGAAATAATAATATAAGTAAAAATCTCGAACTTTTCAAAAAGTTCTAAGATTGTTTCCATTAAAGTAAAGTAGTTATAACATAAAGTATTAGAATAACGATGAGGTGATGAAATTTAATTAATTAAAAACATACCTTAGCTCTTTTCCTTCGACTCATCTCGAATGGATAATAAAACTGCTATGTAAAATAAAAATACTGTTGCAAATAGTCACAAGGGTTTGTTTTGACTCTTTGAACCGGCGGCATTAGGGAATGAACACACACAGACGTGGAAAAAGTAAATAGGTAGTAATCAACTTGGTGTCGTTAACAACGATCGACGACAGTGCCATCAAGCGTGCAATTATTGTACTTCTCAAGCAAAAGCTAAATGGTCATCTATTATGGTCATCTATTTTCCAATGTATCTTTGCATTTTCTCTCCTAAAAATATAATATTTCAATAATTATTACGATTCATACCTTAAAACGATTCATTAATTTATAATTATTATTGAATATCTAAAAGGGAAAAAAATTAATTAAATTTTCTTATCATATATGGCGGCAATTACAAAATGTCCAATTCATCGTGAAACTTTTCCCGCTTTTCATATTGAAAATTATCAAACATTATTTTAAAAAAGAAAAAAGAACAATGAATATGTGTATGTGTATATGTATATATATATATATATATATATATATATTTATATATACATTTTAGACCAATTATAGGCTTCACAAATTAAATCATGTGATAATACAGTGAATATTAGACAAATGGAAATATAATTACGAGTTCTCGTTAAATATGAAATCGTTACGTTTGAGTAACGCTGCTAACGAGTAGTAATAATTGCTTTTCTTATTGCGACTAAATTAATATTTTAAAAATGTCCTTCGTGTTATACCTTACGATAATTCATTATGAATAATCGTAACTGTAAAGAATTTCAATGCCTTAGTTGTAGATTCAGTCTTGCAATGAAATTCAAGTTTGAATAACAGTTTAAGCGAATTAAATAAAACGTAATTATTTAAATCGTGTAAAAAATTTAATCAGACATAATAAATTACTTTTAATGACTTTTAATTAATAAATTTCTTTAATTAATAAAGTGAAAAAAAAAATAAGACACTAAAAAAATAATAACAAGCTCGAAATGAATTTTTTAACCGATCACGATAATCTAATTAAATTTTTACAATGTTTAAACGTAACCACCGCGACGTGGCCACTGGGATCTGATACTAATATATTAAAAAAAATTGTCTATACAGTTTTATGGTGCAGTTATGCTCTTAATGGTATAACATCGATATTAGCATTATCGATGGGTATTTATTATTATCGCCAAGATATCGTAAATATGATGAAATCAATAGTAGAATTCGTATATATATGTGAATCACTTTTCAATTTATGTTATTGCACATTGCAAAACTCAAATTTAAAGGTTGCGAATTTTTACAATGCCTATTTATAGAATACTCAAATATATTGTTATAACATATACAAATATAATGAAATTTCTTATAGATACTTATAGATGATATGAAGCAATTTTCTTTCAAAGCAACCTCTCAAGAATTAACTTTAAGACGAAATAATCTAAAAAGTATAAGCACTTCATTAACATTTATGTCGACTCTCTTTATTAGCGGTGGTTCAATTTTTGTCTTTGCTCCATCAATATTACATAACAGAGATATACCACTTAATACAATATATCCATTTCCAATGGAAAAAAGTTGGGCAATGTATCTTGTATACATATTAAATATATATACTGTTATGCAAGCATTTTGTGCTATTACCGTTGACGTAATGGTAATTGCAATAATAAACTATACATCTTTTAAATTTATTATACTTGGGAAAAAATTGCAAAATATTATCAGCAATGATGATCTTAAAAACTTTGTAATGGAACATCAAGATGCCATAAGGTATTAATTGGAGCAATAAATAGTCATTTTTTTTAATTGCCATAAATTGAAATTATTTAAGTTAATATAATATGTATTTCTGTTAATAGATATGCCACAATAATAGACGATACTGTTACACCTATTATTGTCAAATCCATAGTTGCAACATGCACATATTTGGTTACATGTAGTTTGTTGTTATTAAATGTAATTATTTCATACAAATTTTTTAAATAATATTTCATATTAATATTATCTTTCCTTTAGGATGTACCCTTCTTGCATATAACACAATTTGCTGCAGTAACGATACTATCCTTTACACGACTTCTTGTATGTAGCTGTGTGGCTCAAGCAGTTACTGATATTGTAAAGTATAATATTTCATAGAAATTTTATAATATTTTAAAGAAAATGTATTATATTTACTTGTTAAATACTAATGATCATTCTTTTAGGCTTCCAATTTAATTTCATTAATTACAGTATCCTCATGGATAAAATCTTCATCAACAATGCGCAAAAATATATTGTTTATCATACAAAGATGTCAAAAGCCTATCACAATCTCAGTAAGTGGTATTGTACCTGCCTTATCTCTCAAACTTTGTGCATTGGTAAATACATTTAACTTACTTTTTTTACAAAACATTATGTAACATTATTAATCCATTCTTGATTATTATATGATATAGGTAATATATAAAACATTTTCTTATATTATGACATTAAGAGCAATATTAAAAGTATGAACTATAACAATATATACCTTGAAAGATGAACAAAGTGTATTGTTTTTAAAAAAATTCATTACACCAGCAAAATAATTAACATTATAGATATGATATTATTATTATTATTATTATATTACTAATATGTAAATAAATACTATTTAATAAATAGAAATAAAAATTTTATTCAATAACATACTTGCCTTTTCTATCTTTCAATATTTACATTATGTTTCACATTTCATTAACATATAAACGTATTATATCATACATATAAACGTATTAAATCATTTTCATTTGCTGGATAATTTGTTACCGGACAACGTTTCTTATTTCGCACTTCAGGTAAAATACATTGGTAACAAAATATATACCTAAAAATGATTATAATTGCAATATAATGCATAATATTTCATCGTATTTAAATGTACATACCCTGATACCATAAGTACTGTACGTATATGTGGTACTTTCATACAAAGTGGGCATAATCCTTTATATTTTGTTATTGAATGTCTAACCTAATAATAATGAAAATTAAATTATTAAGTATCTTTTTATGAAACACACTTTAAATTCTCTAAGGACATATTATTAATTCTATATTTTTTACCTTTGGAGCCGATGGAGCTGGAAGCGTCATTATATCGGTAAAATAATTCTCTTGGGTCCACCAAGATAAGAATTGCAGAAAGAATGCTCCAATTTCAAAAGATCTAGCAATTGTGGTTTGAAGTATATCTAATCCATTGCTAATAGTAAAAGAATGATTTCTAGCTTTGTCCAATAATTCGGTAATAGGAACAATATTTCTTGTTTCTGAATATGTAAGTATAATACCAAGAAATCTTAATAATGGTGTTGCATACATTGATCTTCCAGATACATAAAGTATATAATTACATAAAGTTATAGACTCATATAATGTGAAATAAGTATTATGACCTTCAATAACAGATTTTTTGAAAAGTCTTTCCCATTTCTATAATGATGATAATCAATATTAATAATAATAATAATAATAATAATAATAATATTATTATATGATTAATTATAATAATATTTTTACTTACTGATTTAGGTATATAATTATCAGCTTCTTGTAACTTATATCGATAACTAAGTTTAGATAATTTTTCTCTAAAATATGGTAATAAAACAAGAAACAATAAAGAAAGATATTTTTGTTTTGTTGATAATTGATCATGAAACTTTTCATCGACTAACGAAATACGCTTTAATCCATAAAATGTTTCAGAAAATGATGCAGCTGAAATATAAATATAATCAATATAAATACACAAAAAAAAAAAGAAAAAAGAAAGAATGATTGTAATTTTATAAAAGATTTCTTCTAAACAAAATAAATATTTAAATATATTTACAATATTTGCTGAGATAGTATCGTTGAAGGAATGTATTAAAAATCAAGTATCCCTCATCTGACCATTCAAGTAAATGCCCATATCTTTCAGGATTAAAGGATATAACAAACTAAAACATTTTCATTTTTAATATAAAACCATTGCTATAATAAAATATAAAATCATATACTAATCATTATTAATTATTAATTAGAACAAATTTTATAATGGCCATTTATATACATACTGATAGAATCTTTTTAAAAGCAGGTTCAATTATATAAGCAAGAGATTCTTGTGCAACAATTTCAAAAATTGAAGGTTTCGTACAGGTTGTTCCAGTTAAATGAGCACCTTTCTCTGCCATTATTTTATTAATATTATATATAACAATTATATAAATTATAACAACTATCAATATAATCACATTTTGTGAATGTATGTTTTTACATACATTCTCTCTTTTTTTATCAATTGAAATAATATGTCACATATTTAATCTTTCTTTATTACATCATTAATCTCATAAACATGAATATCAAAAATAATGAATTATTTATGCGTTTATCTACATTTTATTAAAAAAATCAAATGTGGCGACATATGTGACGCCAATATGAAATATATTTTAAGTTTCACTATCGTGTCTTTTCGTGACTTCAGCGACACGTACGGACAAAATATGAACTACGAATACAAACGAGGAATGCTATCCTCATCTATGCGTCTATCATATCGGTGTATAAATTTGTATTGGTTATTTCTCTCTCGTACGAAATAATTCATTTCGTATAGGTTAGAGAGTAAATAATTTAGTAAACTGTGAACTCAAAGACTTTTCAATCTCTCATATGTACATATGTCTTTCTACGATGATAACGTGTGTCTCCGCAGTGATTCGTATTAGATATGATTTCAATACATATTTGTTTCACGATAATAGTATAAAGAAAAATAAATATAATTAACATATATAATAATTAATATATAAATTTGTAAATTTAAAGAAATTATTTTTGAATTTAATTATATATTTTATTATGTAAAAATGTAGAGTGTTAATTCTTTACTGTTTAATTAGAATTAATTTATTTTTTTTTTTTTTTTTTTTTTAAAGAAAATAAAACTTTTTGAAAAATTCGAAAAAGGTATATCCTAGATTAAATCTTCGTCTTTATAACGAGATATTGTTCATCAAAATAAATCTAGAATTACATTTGTTCTCAATGATGGCGTAAATGTTGGCTTTTGATATTTTTCGTGAAAAAAAGAAAAAAAAGAAAAAAGTATCTTATAGTGACGCCACCTCGAAAATCGTGGCTAAAGAGAAGAAGCTTCTTCAGTCATCTGATTGTCAATTTTAAATAAAATTAAATTAATATTTCAAATTAACATTTATACGTGCTTTCGTAGACCATTTACATCAACAAGAACAAAAACAAACTTTTCATTGACTTTGATTGTTATCGAAACAGTTTTTCTTTTGGATTTCGAACAGTGAAGATCGAAGTATTATCTTTCCTAATGGTAAATTTAAATAAATCATACTTTTGATTATTTTAGAATTTGTTTAAATAATTTTAAATGTTCAGGTAGTATAATTTACTAATGTTCAAATAATAATGCATTAATTTAAACATTTCATAACTCAAAATTAAGCGTTAAATATAAAATAGAGAATTAAATTGATATTTTTAATAGAGTTACGCTCACTTGTTTGTTTGTTTACGTAAACAAAAACAAACTTTTCATTGACTTTGATTGTTATATCGAAATAAGATCTAAATTTATTGCTGATATAAATTTGGTATATATATGATTATATATCACTTTTTAAATCTAATTTCTTTGGATTTCTTATATTCGATTTATTCGTATATTATTAATAAATAAATAGTAATAAAATTACAATGTTATCGGTGATAAGATTTTAATATTTCATTTCAATTCAATTTTAGTATTTGGTAAAGATTCCATTAATTGTTTCCTGACATCAGCTGGATCTTTTAAATATGGCATTCCTTCAAGTTTCAATATTTTTAATTTTCTATACAAGTATGAAATAAAATGGAAATTTAGGATAACTAATCATAAAGTATTAAATATTTCTTAAGTTTTGAACATTTATACATACTGAAGTTTTTTCAATTTATACAATCCCTCATCAGTTACACTTGGACATTCTATAACTTCAAGATGAGTTAGAGATTCCTTTAAAAATGATAATAAAGACATTGCTCTGTTGCAAATGTATCGAGAACGAATAAGCTTAACCTCTTCTATATGCTTACAACCATCTAAATATATATATATTTTTTTTTTTTTAGATTAAGTTGGATGAAAGATTCATTTATCCCATTTCTAGACAAATCTTAATCATTACTAACCAAAATATGGAAATCCTACATATGTTATCCCTGAATTTTCAGCTTCAACGCTTTGTATATAATTTATTCCTGTTTGTTTGATCAAAACATTATAATCCGTTAAATACTCAGAAGAATTTTTCCATTTGACATAAGCTCCATTTTTCAAGAGCCATTCAGCACAAGCTTGATCAGGGCCAACCTCTTCAATTCTTCTCTTATCGACACTTCAAGTACACAGAAGAGTTCAATTTGTGAGAGGATATGAATTAACAAAATAATTAAATAATTCAACTATATTATAAATAACTGAATATAATTCAATTGATGATATGAAAATCAATTCTTTTTCAAAAAGAAGGAATGACAAGTTATATAAATTAAAGATATATTAATTATTGTATAAGTGAATCAATTAAAAGAACAATTTATATATTAAGATACCTATTAAAAATTATGGTCAGCCAATAAAATAAAGATCTTTTTGTTAATCCATTTTCTTGTCTTATAAAAGAACTAAATTTTCCATTTAGAATCTGTAACAAAAATATTTATATAGAAACAATTTTTTTTTTTTTTATACAAGATGACAATCAATGATTAAAACCTGATTAATCATAGCGAATATTACGATGAATTTATTATTATTATTTTTTTTTATTTAATTATTTACATAAATATTCGCTATTTTAATATTATAGAATTATAGCAATAAAAGTACGCAATAATTCGTTTCTCTTTCACTCATGTTACTGGTGAAATAACTATGTTGTTACGTGGAGCCATCTACACGAAGAAATTTGGCGCCAAGTAGTATCTCGAGAGAATAGCGGCAAACTAAAACTGTACGATTCTTTAAATATTAATATTATTTTATATTAAACAAAACAAAACAAAACAAAAATACGGGAAATATATTTCGTAATAATATTGTGTTAAGTAATATTGTGTATATGGATTAACAATAAAAAATAATAATTATTGAAGTGATCAATAAGATAAAGGATATTTCAAGGTTATATCAAAAACGGAATACAAGAAGAAAAGAAAGAGCTTGAGTATTTATTGAAGAATATTAAACATGTCGCAAGAAATGAATATATTATGCTGTTATTCCTGTCAAATGTTTCAAGTAAGTTAATCTTTTTTCTCTCTTTTTTTTTTTTTATATCATCAATATTCGTATTCGTCTTATAAATTCATGTAGGTACATATTGTCAAAAAAGCGAAGAAATGGCAGTGCAAAGTTTGTAATGAAAAGCAATCTATCCGGCGAGTATGTTATATCTTTTATTTTTTATTTTTTAATTTCATTAATTTATATAGGTATATTATATAATAGTATAAGAGATAACTATCGTATTTAGGTTTATTTTCAAGGATCAGGAAAGGATTGTCGTTTGCATGTACAAGAATTAAATTTACAAAAATTAAAAGGCCTTGAATCAACTCAAACAACTCATTTCAGTACTGATAATAGAAATTATGTATCTTATAACAAAGATGAATCATTGAATCAACAAGTTTCTGATAACTGGTCTAATCATTCTGAAATACCATTCGATGATTCTGACCATGTATCTGATAAAGAATGTGGTTACGAAGAACAAACTAAAGATAATAATTGTGATAATTGTAGAGATCATTTCATTGATAATCGTATCTATTATAAAAGTGAAAGTCATGCAAATAATGAAATAGAAGATTCAAAATCTATAAGTTCGGAATCTATTCATAATATTAATAGCAAGACTGAAATTAAATCTATAACAAATAATACAAAAGAAAATCAAAATATATTTGAAACTTACGAAGATTTTGATGATGCACTTGATTTTTAATTTTTAATATACATAATTTACTCTAATATATATATATATATATATATATATATATATATATATATATGTGTGTGTGTGTGTATATACGTTTATTTATATTGTTTATTTTAATTATAATAGATTCATTGCTCGATTATTTATATTCCTATAATTATTTTATAAATTAAATAAAACAGTTATATATCATTGGCAAATGAGAAATGACTTTTATTTAAATAAGTATTTTATGGCAAGGACAGTTCTGTCTAAAAAGTAATACTTTATTACAGAATTAGATACATAAAAATAATTCAAAAAATTTTCTATTCTTTTTTCTTTTTTTTTCTTTTTCTTTTTTTTTTTTTTTTTTTTTTTGAATTATCTTTTTACAAGCTTTACAATGTCATAAGATCAATTAAAAATATAAATAAGTTATTTATTTATTATCTACATATGCACAGGTGCAAGCCTGAAAGCTAAATGATATCTGTAATGCATTATGAAATAAGATAGAATAAGCAGTGGATGAATTACGACAATAAACTCTTGCTCTATATTTCAACTTAATCCCCTTTAACTAGACATTTGATATTCTTAAATGATTTTTTAATAATAACAGTAAAATACATATGTCCTCATAAAAATCTGAATCTGTTATAATAACAGTGAAGAAACTAATCTTTAATATTGTCAATCGAATGAGAAAAGTTATATATAGCGATATATGTATTTTATGTGAGAAAAATTAATAGAATTTTTATAATATGAAAAATAAATATAATAAAACTCATTATAAAAATGATATATAATACATGTATTTCTAATGCTAATTTTTTCTTATGTATTTTTTTTTCCTTTTTTCTTTTTTTCTTTTTTTTTTTTTTTTTTTTTCCTTAGTATATTACCAGTATCCTAACTTTTTATTAAACATTCATCCATTGTAGTAATATCATTTTTAACAGAATGAAGTTTAGAGTATATAAACAATATAATTTATTTCTACTTATTAAACATAAATGTTGATCTCATATAATTGAAGTAAGAAAGCCGTTTTTGTGAAGCTAGTTGTACAAAAAATTTCTTGCTTATATATATCAATAAATGTACACAGTCTTAGGATAGTATAACAGCTGTGCCGCAGTGATCAAATCTTATACATATCCTCTTTCTAAATATTCATTTAAAAATATTAATAAAAGATGATTGTATTAAGAAAAATTGGCAGTGCATTATAAGAGCGTTTGTTACTTTCAATTTAATAAAATTTCGAATAAACCATATAAGAGTACCTAGCTTCTTTTGAATAGCCATTTTTATTGTTTAGAACTGTATTAGAGTTATTTCCGAAAGTTGATTATTTCTTTTTCTTTAAGAATTTTTAATATATACGATTAGTTCATTTTATTAGATTGACTTCAATAGTATTTAAGTTTAATTTATCAAAAATTAAAAAAATGGTATTTCTTAAAAGTAAATTTTTTTTTTCCAATTTTTTTTTCTTTTTTTTTCTTTTTTTTCTTTTTTTTTTTTTTTATAATGTAGCACAAATAATTTTGCAAATAATATTACAACAGTTCTATGTACGTATCCTATATGATTAAGACATTTATCAAGGTAAAGCAGATCATTAATATTCCATTGCGTGGCATGATAAAAATTGAATGAACTTCAAACAGTTTTAATTAAATATCATAATCTTTGTCACTAATATAACAAAATAAATTACATTATTAAATGCATTGCGATATTAATTACATTTCTAAGGCAATTTGTCACACTGTTATGAAGAAAAAGTTGAAATTAAAAAAAAAAAAAAAAAAGAAAAAAAAAGAAAAAAAAGAAAGAAAAAAGAAAAGAAATGAAATAAAATAATAAAAAATAAAAATAAATTTACCAATACTGATGTCTGTGACGTCGTGAAGCCGTTGCATCTTCATGATGTCTGAAGTTACTTTGCCAACTTCGACTTCGCCTGTTCCAAACGCTATAAGATATTAAAATATCTCTCACAGAATTGGGTAATGAAATGATGCAATGAAAACTTACCTTGGTAATTTTTTTCGTCTCTTATTAGGCGGACTACCGAGTTCACTTTCTCGAATAATTTGTAAGGCTGATGGCACAAATAAATCCTCTAAATAAAAACAAAAAAAAAACAAAAAAATAAATAAATAAATAAAGAAAAAAAGGACAAGAAAGAAATAAAAAGTAATAACAATGATGTTTACAAAAATAAGAGAGATACTTAATAAAATAGAAATTGTTTAATGCTATTACATACCAAACGTATTACTATACTTTCTCTTAGATATATATTTTTGATGTTGTTGAACTTGAGGCATTGTCTCTCTGGCACTTCCTACTGTACAATCTCGCGTTCCTTTACAACCTTTCAAATGTTCCAATTGATCGTGAAGATAAGATCTGTCTGACGGTGTCAACATCGATATTCTGTTCCATTGTTCAAACGGATCTATAAAAATATGATATAATAAAGGTATTTTCGTTTCTTTTTTTTTTTCTTTTCTTTTTTCTTTTTTTTTCTTTTTTTCTTTTTTTTTTGTACTAAAAAGATCATTTTCTATATACTCACCGATTCTTAAATTGTAAAAAGTCACCAAACCTGTAGTGAATTCACAATAAAGGAAATTATGCGTTACGTTAATAGTACGTATACACGAATACGTATTGTTGTTAGCATTCATGCAAAAACAGAATGGCCCTGCATTCCACAAAGGAGCAGTGCGCCAATGATCATTGTCATGCTCGAAGCAATTCATCTTTTCAGTCAAACAATCCTTTTCAAGCTTAGCCTTTTTCTTAAGTTTGCGTTCTTTCTTCTTAAGTCGTTCCTCCTTTAACCGTCTCCTTTCCTCTCTAGCGATCTCTTTTTCATCTTTCTTCGAATACGAATCAGGTTCGCAATAGCACTTGTGACGTGCTTCTAAAGGACTGTTTAGTAATGGCGGTAAACGACCATTATTATTTGTCGCTGTTATACCTATTACATAAAAAAAATATATATATATATATTTTTTTTTTTCAATAACATAACATACATATATCAAATATATAATATGATTATAAAATTATACCTTGTTTATGTTTTCTATCTGGAGTCTCTAAAATGGTGACATCTATTCTAGCTGGTCCCAAAATAGTACTCGTTTTGTTCTTTTGTACTTTGGGTAATTTCTTTGGAGGAGGAATTGTAGTTGGTACGTTTAACTGTATTGTTGAACTAGTTATACTAGTAGTTTCGTTCTTAGTAGTTGAAGTAGGATGATTTAGTGCGGTAGATACAGTCGGTTTGAACACTGGTGTACCAAACTCGACGGTTCCAATCGAACCTGGTGTTTCTGTTACGAACGATGATCCATGTTGTGACGTTAATTCGGTCGTCGTTAATTTGTTATTTACATTGTTACTTCTATAATTATCTTGAGTGCCATTGTGAACACTGGTAAAAACGATTGGAACATTAGTTGATTTATTTAATCTATATTGTGTTCTTTGATTGAAAGTTACATCTTCTTGGCTAGGAGTAACAGTTCCAATATTATCATTTACATTCTGACTTGGTGGGACGTCATCGTGAACGCTATTGGTAAGAAGAGTATTATTGTTCTTACGATGATAAGAAAATTTTCTACGTCTTTGTTGTTTATTGTCTTCGCTATCGGTAGTATTATTAGATGGTTCTTTGATTTTTTGTCGACGTGGAATTTTTTTTGATTTTGGTAACATAGTAGTAGTAGTAGTCGTGCCGAATAATTCCAAAGTAGAATCTCTTTCATTAATCGAAATTTCTCCTTGAGTAACGTTATATTTATTTATATTGTCCTCGTGAATCGTCGAGTCTTTTTCAATGGTAGAAAACTGAGTTGACTTTGAAGTAGATCGCTGGGTCGTCGTAGTGGTTACGTTAATCAAATTCGTATGGGGTCCTTTCTCGTGTTTTTTGTGATGCCTGCTAGTGTGATTCTTAGAAGTATGATAATGTGGTTTATGAGAAACATGTGGTTCCTCTGGGTCGGCAGACTCATCCTCATTGTCCGGAATGAATTGGGGACGCTTCATCATTAAATGTCGACGTATTTCCTAAATAATTAATAACAATCCAATTACTTATCACGATATATGTATATATAACGGATAGAATATTAACGTACCTTTAGTGTCTCTAACTGCATTCTCATCTCTTTAATTTGTTGTTCGATCTTTCGTCTGGATATTCTCCACTCGTTCGGATCCAGATAAATAGCTTCGCTACAATTCACTCCACCTTCGGGAAGTACCGAACACTTGGATGGTAAAGTTATTCGTGGTGAAGTAGAATGACGTGCATGTGTTTGCTGTGAAATGAAAAATACAAAAGCAACTGTAGAGATTGATTTTTGAACTATGACGGAATTATCCGTAGCAAACTGTATCGTTGTTTCTGGATGGATTATTACTACTCTGTCGCTGTTTAGAGCGGCATATAAACGAAATTAATATGGCGATCGGTATTTCGATGGCCTTCAACTATACATCTGTATTAGTATAAAGTAAGAGAGAAAACAAGTGAGCCATTATACTGGCTCTTTGGAAAAGAAAAAAAAAAAAAAAAAAAAAAACCATCTCTCAAAGAGAAGCTAGTGATGCTTCATCCAAAAAAAAAAAAAAAAAAAAAAAAAAAGAATAAATTAGTGGGTAGTTACTATAGCGATTTATAATAGCTAAGGGATTAATAAAACAGTGGAAGTATATATAATTTTTTCGACGTACTTTTAAATCATCCAATTCTTCCTCTATACTTTCCATTATCTGTGTAACGTGTTCAATCGTATCCTTCTTCGTTGCGCTCCTTCGCACTCTTCTATGTCTCTTGATCACATCTTCGACATTTAATCGACCTTTTACGATCTTATCTAAACTAGGATCGAAATCGTTAATCGAGTAACTTGAAATCGGACGATCATCCCATTCCTTTTCTTCTACGTTGCTCTTATGTTCATCATCATCATCATCCATGTCGATCCGCGTTACTCGCGTATAATTACGATAAGCATTTCTGAAAGCAACGTTTACCTGCGCTTCATAACGAAAGATCAGGATAATCCTATTTCCGTTCAATTTAGCGACTAATTAGATACCTGAAGAGATAATCGTCCTCGTGAATATCTTTTTTAAGGATATCCAAATCCTGAAGGAATTCATCGTCATCTTCCTCGTCTATAGCTCGTCTATCTCTTATATCATCTAAATCCTCTTCCTCGAGTTCATCGTTCATCTCGGATATATCTCTTTTACCTTGATTTATATTTTTTCAATGAATTATTTACATTAGGAATTTCATTATTACAAATTTCTAACGTTTTATAAGATCTATTAATTTTTCTAAATAATTTATCTTACATAACAAGACATTGCTATTGCATAGATCGTATAACGATATAAATTAATTATTCTTTTTATGAAATTATAAACTGACCTCGTTTCATGAAATATCCAGTCGTTTCGCCATAAGGATCTAAAGGTCTTCGATCTCTCCCAAATCCATATCTTGACATATCAAAATCATTAGTCTCCAATCTAGTATAAACCAATCCCTGAGGCGTGAAACATGCACACTTTTTCGACGTCCTTTGTATAGGCGGAGGTATAGCGTATCTACATTTGTGTCTTCTCCAACGATGACCGTCTCTCTCGCAACGCCACTTTTGACCATGCACGCAATCACCTTGTGCTTCCGGTCTTGAACATTCAATTGCAAGACGTTCGTGTTTCGATGAGTACGGCGATTGAACAGGATGCACTCTGTTGTCTAAATGCAATTCCGGAGCTACTGTTTAAAGAAATACATATTTATCTTCCAACGAAAAACTTTCTTACCCCCTCCCCCTTCCCCTCCCCCCTATGAAATATATTAAATGTAAAAGAAAAGAAACATTGTATATACTTGTCTCATCGATAATCGACTCGTCAAAATCATCTTCGGAAATATCTTGATCACTTCCCGTATCATTTTCTATAAATCGACGATCGGTCTCAGGATCATCGGTTTCTGTAATATCGTCAACCTCCTCGTTCTGTGTACCATGCATTTGTCTCGTAATCGTTGCATTTTGCCTTCTCGCTTCTCGTGCTTTTGATTCAGCAATGGACTCTGGGGTCTCCCGACGACCAGACGATTCGATTAGAAATGTATCTGGCCATTTTATTTTCGGCCTTCTACTGCGCTTATTACTGAACAAGAAAAAGAAATGTTGTTAACGAATGTCTCTTACGTTCTCTAAATTTCTTTCATGTATCTTTCGTTATAAAGAATAAAAAAAAAAAAATCAATAATTAGAATTATAATAATACAATAATAATAATAATAATAAAGTGTTATATATTATATATAAAGTGTTATATATTAATATGAAAAATAAACAAAAATAAATATATTACTGTACGAAAATATGTATATTAATATTATTATTTATTGATAAAAAAAAAATATACATATATATATAATATTATTTAAGTACTAGTAAGTGAAGTTAGATTTGTGATGCGATAAATATAATGCTCGAGTGATACGGCTAAAGCGTTTGAGATATTATTACATGATAATTTAATCGTCTAATATGTCACTTCATATAAAATAACTCACTTTAGAAAAAGCATCTTGAAAGATCGGCCATCCATCTGCGGTGGTGTCTCGACGCCGGCGATGTCCAGGAAGGTCGGCGCCAGATCAATGTTTAAAACTATGTCGTCTACTCTGGAACGTTACATAGACCTTCTATCGCGACTCGATGCTTAAAGGTAGCACTTAGGGGTATTTGCTTTATAAACCAAGATCCATTACTCAATCGTAAGAAGAAGAGGAGGAGGAATAAGGAGAAGAAAAAGAAGATGAAGAAGATGAAGAAGAAGAAGAAGAAGAAGAAGAAGGACGTGCATTGAATCGTTTCTCTTCAGTCTCTCTTTATCCCTCAGTCAATTTCCACAACGATTAGTCGCAAAAACCAATGAAGATAGAAGTAACAACGCGACACAAGGAGAATCACGGTCTTACTCGACATGGATTTATACTCGAAAGTATCTATGTATACATGTATCACGTTAAAACGATGTTCTTGCTGATACTCTACCATCTCTTCTATCAATATGAGTAAAAATGTGTATTGGTATTATTACTACTACTACTACTACTAGTATTATTATTATTATTACTACTACTACTACTATCATTACCATTACCACTACAACCAATACAACAGTCGCGGACCACTTTTCTCATCGCGCTCGGTTTCACGGTCCAGCAGGATAATTTATAGCGTACCAAGACTCTTTATGGCGGACCGCGAAACCGTAATTCCAGAAGACGTTCCAGACAACGGGCACTTACGTGCAAGTGCTCTATTTATTGCCGTGAAATCTCGCTAAGGGAACGAGCAGATTGTATTTCTATATATATAGATATATATATATATACATGTATACTATGTCTGGATATACGATCGACCTAACGAATTACGAAGCAAATAGATCTTATGCCTTTAACGATCCTGTTCGATGATTAAAAAAACGAGGTGTTCCTTTCTTTTTAGTATCGTTAATAAAATTACAAAGCAACTGAACGTAATGATCCTTGTAATTATTCTAAATTGATCTAAAACTTACACGGATCCAGGTTCTATGCCGGGTCCTCTTATGAGAAAAGGTACTCTGACGTCAAACTCGAATGGGAAGCTTTTGCCTTTGATAAGACCAAATTGTCCCAAGTGATAACCATGGTCGGATGTATAAATTATGTAAGTATTGTCCAGCTCTCCCAAATCTTTCAATTCCTGATAGATCTGTAGTTACAGGAATAATATTATTCTTTTAGATATTTATGTTCTGTGTCTTTTCCTTTTTGGTTCTTTTCTTTTTTTTTTTTTTTCTTCCTTTTCTTCTTTGTACGTATATATAAACAAACTCACTCTATCGACCGCTGCGTCGACACTCTGCAAAGTCTGCAGTCTCTTGGTCATCAAGAGATCCGTAAACTGTTTGTGTATAGGCTGCATCTTCTGAGTGACTTGGAGAATCCACTGTTTGTCTGGATTCGGTGCATAATCGTAAGCTGGCGTACTGTAAGAGTAACAGAGAAAGAGAGAGAGTGAGAGAGTGTACGTATCCGTGTGTGTGTGTGTGTGTGTGTATGTGTGTGTGAAAAAGAGAAAGAGAAGATCAGAGAAATTCTTAGGAGGTATGAATGTTTGCGAAATCGAGGTCGACCACCCTGCTAAGATTTAACTTGATGTTGACTCTAGGGAGAAAGATCATTCTATATGTATACTTACTGATGAGTGGTGACGTTGAAAAAGAGATGCGAGAATTGCGGCGCGGAATCTTCTGGTCCATGAGGCGCCGGAAAGCTTGCAACCAACATTACCGGTTTGCGAGCGAAATTATGCTTGCTTTGCCGTAGAAACGCAACGCTATCGTTAGCTATTAAATCCGGATAATAGTCCTTGCTATATTCGAAGCCGTGCTTTATCTTCTTCCCGTTCATGTTGACGCTGTAGTTGTAGTATCTCGAGTTCATTATCAGACCACCCCATTCCCGCCAGCCAGGCGGTATGTACGAGCCGTTGTACTTGTTCAAATATTTACCGAAGTATCCTGGAAACAGGGTAAAGAGAATGACTAGAACGCGTTAATAATGTTAATTAATCTCATGCGTTCTCTTGAGAGGAACGAGAAAATTTATTGTTATCTTTTATTCGATTCGTTTGTCCCTTAAATCAAAATGTGAAAATTGAGTTTTGTCTACAACAACGATTAAAAAAAAAAAAGAAGAACAAAATAAAAATAAACGAAAATAATAAATAAATAAATAAATAAATAAATAAATAAATAAATAAATAAATAAATAAAATCGAACAACTCGCCTCGTTGCTCCTTCTTTCTTTCTTTCTTTCTTTTTTCTTTTCCTTTTATTTTCTTTGTTTACATCGAAAAAAAAGATAATTTGATTTGTCACTTGGTGCCAATCGGTAAAACTGGTGAAGAATAATCATCGACCTCCCACACCTATTCCTCTCTCTCTCTCTCTCTCTCTCTCTTTGAATTGAATTATTCATGTCTGAGAGAGGGAGATCGCTACAAAATAATTAATTCAAACGTAGTACGCGAGGTCGCCTCTTTTGGGTTGCAACGACCGCTCGTATATATTTATTAGCCTTCGTCGTTCCTCCTCTATACACTTCGAAGTATTATAGTGTTCGATATATATCGATACTATTATTTTTCTTTTTTTTCTTCACCGACAAAATTACACAGGAAGGATTTCGGTCGAGACAACTTTTTACAACGAGAGAGAAAAAAGAGAGAGAGAGTGAGAGTGAGAGAGAAAGAGGGCATACGAGGAGGGATGGTAAGAGGAAGAGGAGGAAGGAAGGGGAGGCAAAACGTGGACCACCATGGCAGAACGATCGTATTAACTTGTCGTTTTATCTTCAACGATGACATCTCAATATCGATGTTCCCAATCGATCGATCCCTTTACATCGTACTTTGCATCGTAATTTCATTCTCTGTCAATTAATTTCGACGCTCTCATTACAGAGAGAAAAAGAGAGAGAAAGAGAGAGAGAGAGAAAGAGAGGTGAGGGAGAGGGGAGAGAAAGCATTTTGAAAATTCACTTAACAGGATCGACCGACCGGTTTTACAGAATTTTACAATAAAAGAAAAATCTCGTGTTATAATGGGATTTAATCGAACGATCGCTCGACACACCTGTTGCTTTCCGAAACGGCAGACTCGTGATGAGAAAGAAAGAGAAAGAGAGAGAGAGAGAGAGAGAGAGAGAGAGGAGAGAGAGAGAGAGAGAGAGAGAGAGAGAGAGAGAGAGAGAGAGAGAGAGAGAGAGAGAGAGAGAGAGAAAGGGAGAAAGAAAGAAAGAAAGAAAGAAAGAAAAAAAAGGATAAAAGAATGAGAAGGAGAATAAATGATGGAGAGAATCGAATTAAAATGCAAGGATAATGACTCATTTCAGAGTTATAAAAAGGAATCTAAGAGTTTTAAGGCCGAACGATTTCTCTTGTCCAACAAAAGGGGGATAAAAGAAAAAGGAAGAGAGAATGAGAGAGATAGAGAGTGAAAGAAGAGAAAAGAGAAAAAGGATTTGAAGGAGCCACGATATCCTGGCGCCAGTCGCCAGTTCGGACCAACTTTCAGTTTGACCGAACAAAACGAATAATCTCGTATAAAACGTTCACGATGACAGCACGTTCGAGGATAATACCAGACGGATATGTATGTATACATATATCGTATGTATATGTAAGTTCACTGCAGCGAATTCACGAATAGGAAAGGCACGTGATTGGTGAACGAAATTCGTATCAGTGTAACATTCGATCTTTGCCAGAAAACGCGAACTCGTCTTTACGACATATCACCAATGCCAAATATTGTGTACAAATTTTTACAATTATTTTCCTTCCTTTTTCTTCTTTCTCTTCTTCTTTTTATTCCTTCCTTTTTTTCTGTTCTTCTTTCCCCCTCCCCCCCCCCTTTTTTTTTGCTTTCCTTTTCTTTTCTTTTTATTATTCTCGGCCGCGTGTAAAATCCAATTTAGATAAATTTGCGTCCGTTTGTTTTTATGCGGGCGCATGTGTGTGAGTGTGTGCTCAAAAAAGAAAAAAAAAAAAAGAAAAAGGAGAAGATAACAAAATATCAGACAAAAAAAAGAATAATATCTTCGAGTTTTCTTTTTCAATCTTTTTGATAACAAGAATTATCATTCGAGTTTCTTAAGTCGACACTTCGCTACCAATCACGTTCGAATAAATCCATTAACTTCCTCGAAAAAAAAAAATATGTATATATATATATATATATATATGTACATATGTACATGGATCGTTAGCCGAGTCAGCTATGCTTTGATCGATTCGTGTTCCTTCTATGCAATGCGTCGCGCGATAAGAATTTAATTGATATTTACGGCCGGCCCGGTGGCATGGGTTTATTTTTAGGCTGGCGCTAAATCAGCGCCATGTAAAGTGCACTCTTGCTACGAATGTAGTGTAGTGTCAACGACCGGAACGAGAATCCTCCGAGTTAAATACGGAGGATCGATCGATCGATCGATCAATAGAAATATGATTTAGAAATTTCAAACTTTAATAGTATAAATTGAGAATTATTATTAATCGTTTTATAACAATTATTTATTATATATCATATATAATCTAATTTTTATATAAAATATTCCTTGATATTATTCATTGTATATGAAATATAATGTTATATATGTTAGATATAATAAATAAATTGTATTTTATCTTGTTTTAATTATATAAACATTTTAATCTGATTTAATGAAAGAACCCTATCATAATCTCTTTTAACAAATATGTATACGTAGGATTTAAAGTTTATGCAGTAAGCATTGCCGATTACATGAGGAAGTTCGAAAGGAAGTTGTTTCGTGCAGCGGGGGTATTAACCCGTTTTTCGAGTTCTAAAACGCACGACGGGGGCTTCTCACCGATCGTTTATACGTTTGCATGCACATGGTTTAAAACGGAGGTCCCGGTACATCGGTTAAGTACATCGAGCTCGTTCTTACTTCGCACGATTTCACAACGCGTACCATAGCACGAAACGTTTAACGATCGGCACGAGCTACCTTTCCGTCTCTCTCTCTTTTCTCTCTCTCTCTCTCTCTCTCTCTCTCTCTCTCTCTCTCTCTCTCTCTCTCTCTATGTAACGAAAAACATGATCGTTTTTGATCATTTAAAACGATGACGGAACACGATTGAAATATATAACTTCTTTTTTGAATTGATATATTTTTAAAGCGCAATTAGATAAATATCGATATTTATATTATATTATTACTGATAAAATGGATATTATATTGAAATGATTTAGAATGAAATGAATGTATTTTATGAATTTTCAAATGAAATTTTTGTTCGTTCAATATTTATGCTCGAAGTTATTTAAAAGTATAAGATTTAAAAAAAAAAAAAAAAAAAAAGAAATGATCAAATATTTCTTCATTTCGAATGTCAAAATATTAATATTTTTATTCGAGAAATATTGTTGCGATTGACAAATTCTTGTATTTGAACATTTTCTTTTGTTTTTTTAATTTTGATTGACTGATATCTATTCAATATTTGTCCGAAAAGTAAAGTAATCTTAAAAAATAACAAATATTCGTCGTATAAAATGTGATATTTCTTCTTCTCCTTCTTTTTTTTTTTTTTTCTTTTTTCTTGTCTTTTCTTTTTTTGTTTTCAAGAAGACAAAGAACAAACTTGGATACTAAAAAACATATACATTAGAGGGAGTCATCTTATCGGTGAGAAGATATCTACGTTTAAAAATCCAAACACAAGAGACAGAGACAGAGAGAGAGAGAGAGAGAGAGAGAGAGAAAAAGAGAGAGAGAGAGAGAGAGAAAAAGAGAGAGAGAGAGAGAGAGAAAAAGAGAGAGAGAGAGAGAGAGAGAGAGAGAGAGAGAGAGAGAGAGAGAGTTGCATCGAACTCCGGCGGCTCGTACGAAAGTAATCAAAAGGGTCTACTACTCTCCTTCGATGGTGAGGAGAGAATATCTCGAGGAGGGTCGCAACAACTCTCGATGAAAATGCAGCGATCCTTGGAGAACAGCACCTGCAGTCTCTATCGATGCCCTTTTGTAACCCTTTCGGCCCTTTCACTCAACGTGTGTGGGTGCGTAGTATACGTGGTATCGTGCGTCCCTTCTCGATCGTTTCGCGACTCCCTATCTTTTTTGCTTCTTTTCTTTTCTTTCCTTTTTCGTTCTTCGTCCTTCGTTCTTCCTACCTACCTACCTACCTACCTACCTACCTACCTACCTATCTACCTACCTACCTACCTACCTATCTACCGTCCCACGAGTACTCGAAAAACTGGCGGCGAGTCCTCTCGAGGCGTAACGACGAGGCGAACAATGCTCCTCCGAAGCACCGGAGGCTGAGCCACATGATTTAAATTTAGATAATCTCACCTGCACGAGAAATACGCGACCTGGCCGATTCTACTCTCATCCTTTATCGTATTTATTACCTCCTCTAACTATATTTAAAATCATTTTAACTATTCCCGATAAAAATTAACAAATCGTGTCTATTACTTCTTAAGATAAATCAGTAAGAGTTGTTTTATTATAAAACGATATTTCGAAATAGATACAATGTAGATATAATTTGATAATGAGAACGATGATGATTAGAGATTATTTATAAATATAATCAAAAAATATTGACAATTTTATCTATTATCATTTTTTCTTCACAAGATATCCAATGATAAGATATTCAATGATGTTTACAATTATTTTTAACAATGACAAGAAGAAAATTATCTATCAAATTTTAAAAGTAATATCAACACATATTTATCTATCTATATTATTATTTTTATAGATAATATATATTATATACGTAATTTATCTTTTCATATGACGAAAATTGAAACTGATATATATATATATATAGGTACACGTACATATATACATACATGCGCTACGATCAAAAATAATAAATAATTTTTTAAGTTATTCTTAGAAATTATTGAAGGACGAAGGTGCATTAGAAAGAAAGAGAAGAAAAAGAAAATATAAATAAACAGAATTCGATTCGTATGGATTTTTTTTTTTTTTTTTATGTAAGATGGAATGCTATGGGGATTATAGAGGTGGTAAGGAAGGGGTCACGAGCGCTGTGTTTAAAAGGTGAGACCCAGTAAACGTATGCGCGCGTGACAAGATCCTCTCGCGAAGATAGGAGTGAAAATTTGTCGCCTGGCCTGTGTGCGCCAGTCCCAGTATTCTGGTCAGGGACACATTCAGTGAGTATAACAGAGGACGATAACGAAACCAGTTCTGTTCTGTTCTGTTCTGTTCTGTTCTGTTCTGTTCTGTTCTGTTCTGTTCTGTTCTGTTCTCTTCTCTTCTCTTCTCTTCGCTTCCCTTTCTTCCTTCCTCCCGTCATCGATCTCCTTGCTTCTCTTTGCGAATCCTTTCTCGCCTAGAGCGAACCTAAGCCCTCTTTCTAGGTACGTACCATCCAGAACTTCTCCTCCTTCGACGTTATTAGCAAGCT